CCCCCAACCATAAAATTATTTTCGTTGCTACTTCATAACTGTAATTTTGCTAATGTTATGAATCGTAATGTAAATATCTGATATGCTATATTTGTTTTCTGATGGTCCCGACCCACAGGTTGAGAACCTCTAATCCACTGAGCCAAACTTGTTAGGACAAGACTATTTACATTTAAAGTGGAATCTAAAATGTTTAAATCTTTACCTTTTTTTTTAGTGATTATTATTTTTTATTTTAGTTGCTCAAATTTTCAGTTTATTGAGGCATTTATGGGGTTTTGTGTATTTTCATATTCAGCTTTCAAAGAAATACTTTCACTAAAAGTAATTTTCTTTAGTTAGATGATAAAACAAGGTTTACTAGCAGTGATAAAAAACATTTTGGAGCATGTGGTTGACCAATTACATTGGACCTGATTGAATAAAATTTGTTTTTTCATTCACATCTAACATTCTAAGATTTTTTAATGAACTGTCAATGGAAATATCCCATTTGTTTTGTGCGAGAAACTGCTGAATCTTGGATGTAGTTTCTGAATGAATTGGCAAGCTGGGAGATATTTTTATAATTGTAGTTGCTAAAGAGTTCTAGTTCGAATTGTTGGTGCTGTGTGACATAGTTACGTTGTTGTGGTGGTTAATATTTATGTGTTCGATAATAGTCGCTTCATGCAGTTCTCTAGCAACCTTAGCTGTATTCAGAACAGACTTTGGGATTTGGGGAGTTTGGTGCTTATTAATTTAAAACCATAGCATCTGAGGAACATGGCATCTAGACTCTAAGATTTAAAATAATGACATTTCATTCAGTGTGAAAAAATATATTGTTTACATAGAATCCACTGACAGAGCAGGCCTAGCTAAGAAACTCAAAATCAGGAGTCCATAGCATTGTAATGTCCACTCCTGTCCAGCAGGTGGCTGGGAGTGGTGTTCCAGGAAAAATCCCCACATTTTGGGGGAAAGCTGAAAGTATCTGACCCAGGCACCTAGGATTTTGAGGATTTGGAGTGAAAATATTTGAAGAAACCTTTATACAACCAAGTTATATCATTAAAAAAAAAATCGGTGACTCTATATGTGATAAAAACGCTGGGAACCATTCAGTAACGCGCCTGTACGACTCGCCCATCTATGGCGCTGACATCAGTGGCTCCTTATTTGATGCCAACACTAAACAATGGAACCTTGGCCACCTGGGAACCATCCAGGACCTGCTGGAGCAGGAGTGTGGGGTTGTCATCGAAGGCGTCAACACCCCCTACCTGTACTTTGGCATGTGGAAGACCACCTTCGCTTGGCACACGGAGGACATGGACCTTTACAGCATCAACTACCTGCACTTCGGGGAGCCCAAAACGTGGTACGCGGTGCCCCCAGAACACGGCCAGCGCCTGGAGCGCCTGGCCAGGGACCTTTTCCCGGGCAGCTCTCGGGGCTGCCAGGCCTTCCTGCGGCACAAGGTGGCCCTCATCTCGCCCACTGTCCTCAAGGAGAACGGGGTCCCGTTCAGTCGCATCACTCAGGAGGCTGGAGAGTTCATGGTGACCTTTCCCTATGGCTACCACGCTGGCTTCAACCATGGCTTCAACTGTGCGGAGGCCATCAACTTTGCCACCCCGCGATGGGTCGACTATGGCAAAGTGGCCTCTCAGTGCAGCTGCGGGGAGGCCCGGGTGAGCTTCTCCATGGATGTGTTCGTGAGCATCCTGCAGCCCGAGCGCTATGAGCTGTGGAAACGCGGGCAGGACCGGACGGTTGTGGACCACGTGGAGCCCAGGGCGCCGGGCAGCCAGGAGCTGAGTGTCTGGAGGGAGGGCAGGGCGGCCTGGAGATCTGCGCTGGGCCTGAGGCCCCTCCAGCCCCATCGAGCCACACATACCCCTGGATCAGTGGGCAGGAGCCTTAGGTCCCGCGGCCACCTTGGCAGCCGGACCCTCATGTGCCAGCCATCCCTACGCCCCTCGCTAGGCAGGGTTCTGCCTCTGCTGCCCAGCCCACGGCTGCCTCGGCTGCCACGGCCCTCTGCTCCTTAAAGCCTGACCCATCCTCACAGCCAACATCTGCCCAGGATCTCCAGCCAACTGGCACACGCGGTCACGGTCGTGGTCGCGGTGGTGGTCCTGAGAGTGGTCATCGTCCTCGGGAACAGGGGACTCAAGAGTCTATTGTTCAGGCCCCGGCTAAGAGGCGCCGCCTAGTGGGCGCAGTGCGCACAGCTCCGGATCCCAAAGCCCAGCCTGTGCCTGAGGACAAACCCTCCATGGACAGCCCAGCACTGCTGGTCCCAGCATCCTAAGGTGGCTTCTGGGTGCTGCTGTGCTCCCGTCCCCTAAACCCAGGGGACACCTACGTTTGTTCTACATGTTCTTTTGTGTGGAGATTCATTGAGCCTGGCCACATTTACATCTCAAAGCTGTGAGCAAGTTTGTAAGTCACTGGTCTTGCATGAGAGTTCCCCTGTTGTTGCCTCTGGACAGGCTGAGTCCCTGGTATTTAACAAGTTCGCCATAGTTTATTCTTCCTCCCAGACCCTGGAATGTCCGTGGACACTGCTAACTCCTGTGTGGCCAACTGAGCTTCACCCACTGGACACTCCGTGTCTATGTGCACCTGAAGGTTCTGCTGAGTTTGCCAAAGCCGGATCTATCCCAGACTCCCATCCTCTGGAACAGCTGTGGAGGTTGCCCATCTTCAGAAGAATCTGGGCTTTGGGTTCCCCTCCAGTCTCCCTCCCTTTTCTTCTCTTTCTACTCTTCCCCCCCCCTTTCCTGCTAAACCAGGCCCCTTTGACCAATTAGGTCAGCAGATACTCAAAAAACAGTTATGATCTTTCTGAGTCATTGATATGTTTAAAATGCTATCACTAGTATTTGTTCACAAATATATTAAAGGTAACTGATACCTGACTTTTTTCTAACATTGTTCATTCAACCAATTGAGGGTTTGAGGTTATTGATTTCTGCACTTGTCTTAGTAATTATATCAAAACATTTTAAGCAAAACATATTTTTATGGCCTAGTAAAATTGTGTGGAGTTGGTGAATGAAGTTGGGGATGGTTGTGGGGTTCTGCTTGACTGCCTGGCTGGGGAATTGGATGTACAGACATTATCTTCAGGATGACTGCGTGGAAATCATTTGGCACTTGGCTGAGCAGTAGTACCCGAGTTGTTGGGTGACATGAGCAAGCAGAGGACAAAATTTTTTCTCTTCAAGTCTTCTTGCTGTTTGAAAGAAGCATGTATGTATATATTTTTATATATTTTATTGATTTCAGAGAGGAAAGGAGAGGGAGAGAGAGATAGAAACATCAATGATGAGAGAGAATCATTGATCAGCTGTC